CACTCTACCAAGGGCAACAGCTTGAGACTCTGTATCAAAAAATAATAATAATAATTAATAAATCAGTTTAGGTTCAGTGCCTGAGCTCAGCAGCTAGGGTACCAGCCACATGCACTGGAGCTGGCAGGTTCAAACCGGCCCCAGCCTGCCAAACGACAACTACAAAACAAAAAAGCTGATACCTGTAGTCCAGCTACTAGGGAGGCTGAGGCAAGAGAATCACTTAAGCTCAAGAATTTGAGGTTGCTGCTCTCTTCTCTTCTTCCCCGCTCTCTCTCCTCCTCACTCTCCTCTTTTCTCTCCCCTTTTCTTTCCTCCTTGGTGCTGCTCTGCAGCCTCCCTCCCCCACCAATAAAGACCTTTTGTACAAAAAAAAAAAGAGTTTGAGGTTGCTGTGAGATGTGAAGCCATGGCACTTTACCAAGAGTAACATAATGAGACTGTGTCTCAAAAAAAAAAAGAAAAAATCAGTTTATGAGGTCAAATGCTACAAAAATGTTGAGGCTAAAAACTTCAAAGGGTCAACTGAATCTAACACTGAGGAAGTTATTGATGGATTTAGGGAGAGCGGTTTAATTGTAGTAGTGAAAAACAAAAAGTCAACAAGGGTAGGTAGCCTGGGAGCCAAGTGGGAACAAAAGGATGAGAGAGGGCTTTAGGTTGACAGAGGTCCCAGAGTTAAGTATACAGGAATGTGAACTAAGGCACAAAGAAGATTGGTTCTAGATAAGTGAAGGGCTTTTTCACATCTCCGAGATGTAGGCATGGAAGGTAAAGAGAGACCAGGAAGCTGAAAGAGTTCTTACTTATGGCCTGTTTTTTCTTTGAAGAGGATTTTTTTTTTAGAGCCAGGGTCTCACTTTGTCACCTAGATCAGAGTGTAGTAGTCCATTTACAGCTCACTGAAGCCTCAAACGTCTGGGCTCAAGTGATCCTCCCGCCTCAGCCTCCTGAGTTGCAAGATTACATGCCTAAGAAGATATTTGCTGACCACAAAAAAGGGGATACAATAGGTAAGTAGCTGGAAGGTTTGGGACTCAAGACACAAATGATACAGGCTCACGAAATCTTGACCAACTCTACAGAATCCCTTTTATTCTAAGTCTCAATTTCAGAGTAATTCTGTTAGAAACAAAAAATGGTACATAACCCATGTTAGACTGCTTAACAGTATTTTTTTCTTTTTGAGACAGAGCCTCAAGCTGTCGCCCTGGGTAGAGTGCCATGGCGTCACAGCTCACAGCAACCTCCAACTCCTGGGCTTAAACAATTCTCTTGCCTTATCCTCCCTAGTAGTTGGGACTACAGGCACCCATCACAACTCCTGGCTATTTTTTGGTTGTAGTTGTCATTGTTGTTTGGCAGGCCTGGGCTGGATTCAAACCCAACAGCTCTGGTGTATGTGGCTAGTGCCTTAGCGGCTTGAGCTACAGACACTGAGCCAACAATATTTATTGAATGCAAATACATTTGTCTTTTGACCCAGCAACCTGGTTTCTGGGAATGTACGGAATTACAAACACCCAGATTATGTTTAAGTTGCTCTTATTGAATGGAGGCTATTACAGGTAATGGTAAATGTACCTGTTACAACTTGCATACAAATTCAACTTAAGAACAAACCTACAGGCCAGAGCCTGTGGCTCAGTGGGTAGGGCGCTGGCCCCATATACTGAGGGTGGTAGGTTCAAACCCGGCCCTGGCCAGTTAAAACAGCAGTGGCAACTGCAACAAAAAATAGCTGAGCATTGTGGGGGGCGCCTGTAGTCCCAGCTACTGGGGAGGCTGAGGCAAGAGAAGAGTTAGAGGTTGCTGTGAGCTGTCACACCATAGCACTCTACCGAGGGCAACACAGTGAGACTGTCTCAAAAAAAAAAAGAACAAACCTACAGGTTTGGCACCCATAGCACAGTGATTACAGCACCAGCCACATACACCAAGGGTGGTGGGTTCAAACAACAATGGGCCGGCTAAATAACAATTGACAACTGCAACAAAAAATAGCAGGGCATTGTGACAGGTGCCTGTAGTCCCAGCTACTTGGGAGGCTGAGGCAAACGAATCACTTAAGCCCATCATAAAAGGCAGGTTAAATAAACTATGGCTTACTATGTACCTATAAAAAAGAATTGTTCTCTCTTACAAAATGGGAAGACCTACAGGAGATACCAAGTAAAAAAATGAGAAGTGCAGAACAGTATTTATGGTGTTCCACTTAGTAATTCGGGAAGTGAAATTAAAAATCTGTATTCATATTTGCTTGTATTTGCATAAGGACACCTGAAAATAACAAAAACACTATTTAAAAATTGTACTTGTAGGGCGGCACTGTGGCTCAAAGGAGTAGGGCGCAGGCCCCATATGCGAAGGTGGGAGGTTTAAACCCAGCCCCGGCCAAAAACTGCAAAAAAAAAAAAAAAATCGTACTTGCAGTAGACTGGGTGAGACAAATGATTTTCAATGCATACACCATGTTATTCTGTTACGATTTTGAGTCTTATGTAGTAAGTCTCTAAACAAAAAACTTTAAAACTATAAAATGTAGGATTTCTTAAGTTATAGATCCTCTCTTCAGAAAAATGCACATGATCACAAAAACACAACACTGTAGGTTAGGTGGTGAACATCAAAATCTACGTTGTAATGTCTGCAATTTCTTATTTACAATTTTTCAGGAAAAA